GAATTGTGACAATATGTTTGTCTTTCTCTAGATACGTTAGAATGTTATCACCGTTTTATTTCGGTGATGTTCTACGTATATAATCTCAACATGAGTTGAGTGAAAAGTTACAGAAAGGCAGTCTCGAAGACTACGCGCGTAGTAAGAACCAGTCCAAGTTTCCAAGGCTTGGGATTTTCTGTAACGAATAGGCGGTTGTTTTTAAATGTGTTTGTACTTCTTCTTGTAATTCTTCCATTCGACGTTGACTGCTCTAAAACAAAATGAGAGTCACATTTTCTAGCCACATTCTTATAACTCTTCGCTGTTACATCATCAGGAATATTTGTCAGTGGTAGTGGTACCATTACAACCGAATTACGTAAATGTTCTGTTGTTGCAATAATCGATCGTTTAGTTTTCTAAAAACATAAAGAAACTATAGATACTGATCTAAGTATTGCTGATAATTTACATTTACCTCAATTATTGTATCCCGAGCTCTTAATTCATCGCTATAATCTGTACTAATGGTGGACTCCTGCTGCAAAAAAAAACAGAGAAAGAATAGGTCAATATCGAACTCTGTTTTTCAACATAACTACTGAAACTAACACTTTGGATGTTAGTTTTTATAAAAGTAGATGTAAAATTAAGCACATTTGTATAAGAAATTAAGTTTGTTAATGTAAACTCGAGCAAGACTGATGCAATAATAGAAAACAAATGAATCGGTTTAAGTAAAGCTTATTTTTTTATATTCGCTCAAATAAAACGATTCTTAGACTCTTGTCAACAATCTAATTTTTTTTTGTATGCAACTAATACATGTATGCTTCATGTCCTTTAATTAATTTGGAACTATTTAAGTCTGTGAAGATGTTCCTATTACAAAGTTAGAAACTCAAATTTGACAAGAATATGATTCCTATGAATAAAATTTAAATGTGTAAATGTATATTATCGTATCTGAAAATAGGAAAACTGTGAAATATGTACGTATTCAATAAAAAGTGACTTTAAATAAAAGAAAACTTATCCTAAATATCACAAAAAATGAATAGACTCGATATTATAATCATGAAACTAATAAAGTTCTTATAGAAGAAGCCAAAAAAGTAAACATACATTCAATTAGCAGCAGCAAAGAAAAGTATCCGCTTAAGAATAGAAGTTTTATATTGATCGATAAGAACTATATAGGTGATTTTTCAAATAAATAATTTTTATTCTAAAACGAAGAAGCAACAGCTAATAAAGGGAATCGTTTGAGTACATCAATGGAATCAATACTTTCTACATTCTCAATTTCTCTATTATCTCCATAACAGTTTTGTCTGTTTCTATATAGTCTTGTAGTTGCATAATAAGAAGTCTCTCTCTCTCTCTTAGGTGATTCAATTGGAACACTGTTATTTAAACATACATTGATATTATTTATGTCTAAGTTTGCGCAGCAACAAAACTGTTAAAATGGTTTTGAATGTGAGCTCAATAGGAGAAAGGTTGTCGTTTGAACATTGAAGCGACTGTTAATACAGTATCACATACTATTCTCCCAGAATATGTATACAAGCATCAAAGCAAAAAGTAAAAATTTAACACTAGGAACCAGAGCGTTTACCTTCAGGTATCGAAAACTAATTCTTGCACTCAACAGCAAAAAAAAATTTACAAATAGATATCAAAGATTCTTGAACTATCCAAAACTTAAATCAGCCCGTAGGCTGTTCTTACTTTATGTGGATATTTAGTAGTTTGTTGTCCAGTTTGACTACGTCTTTAAATCCGAAATAATAAAATTAAGTTTATCGGATTATGTAGTATATAAACTAATATAAACAATTTATACTATTTCTAGATTTTTAATGTGTTCTTGTAATTCATCGATTTCGTTTTCTCTTTCAGATCGACCATTTTCATAAGCTCTCTGTTCGATTGCTCGTGAATCTAACACCACCGTGTTAAATGTTGATATTCACCCGTTGTTTCTAATCCCAAATCGACACTGTTAATTATGTGAGTTCTTCTCGTCGATGACCTAGATTCACGAGCAATCGAATCTAGTAGCAATCGTGATCTTAGTAACATATGGCTTGTTGTTAACGGTAAGAATTTAATAGTGTTTGTCAAACACTATTAAATTCGATTTTGGTCGTACTCGTACTCGTACTCGAGGGACTGATACTCATACTCGTACTTGTACTCGAAGTGGTCAGTACTCGATAATCTAATATTTAAAATTCCAGATGAAGTGTGTTATTTATGCGAAGAAAGTCGTGAAGAAGATTTACTTTTTTCTAAAAAGCACCTCTATCCAGAATTATATAAACTTCCTCTAAAATATCTAACGGTGCCTGCGACATCGGCTTCTATCGAACGCGTTTTCTCGCAAAGTGGTTTTCTGATGAGACCACATCGAGCATCATTAACGGCAAAGAATGTGTGTCTACTAACTTTTCTAAAATGTAACAAAGTTTTACTTTGATTCCATTCATCGTTGTCATGCACAACGATCGTCTTATATTCCACCGTATGTTTTCCGGCTTACTCAGAGAGTTACAGCTGTTTCAACTAGTTCAGCATTAGCTTGTACCCTCAGTGAGAGTGAGGTTATTACAATGTTGGGTCTAAATATTTTAAATCTTGAATGTATTAAATTAGATATAATATTTAATATATATAGCAACTATAGACGTCACTGGCATTTCATATTTAATTAAATGAATACTTTTTAATGTTTTGTTATTACTGTTTCTATTCTACAAGTTGCTTTTTTGTACCTTTTTTCTTGTTTCCATTGTTAAAGAATTAATTCTTTTGATATACAATGGTTGAATAGAGCATTGAAAGTTACATCTGGTGGCATGTATTTTATCGTCATCAGCTCATATTAATGAAGAAAATAATATTTAATTTTGTGAAAATGGTTGAAAAATGGGTATTAAGTATGGGAAAAGACATTTCTCCTACTTTTCGCAAGTAAACTTTTTTCAGTTTTGCGTTGGAAAACTGCACATGACTCAATGCTAGCTATTCGTGTCAAAACTTGATATAAATTCTTTTCTCCTAACCGTTTAAAATAGATCTTTCTAAAAACAAAATTAGATCAGCTCGTAAAAGGTACCCTGAATGGATTTATATATGATTTTTAGACGGTTAGGAGAAAAGAATTTCTAGCAAGTTTTGACATGAGTAGCTAGCATTGAGTCATGTGCAGTTTTTAAACGCAAAAAACAAAAAAGGTTCATTAGTGAAAAGTAGGAGAAAAATGTCTTTTTGCCTGTGAATTGACTAAAAACACAGAAAATAAAAAAAGCAGGGAAACTAGGAGAAAATCCAGAAAGGAGGACATCGTAGGACGGTTTTATAGACAAGTAGGACGTTTATGAAGCCCGGTATAGTCAATTGCATAAAGAAGTCTTATTTTCACTTCTATTTTAATGATGTGGATTGAAGGGCGTGAAAAAAAGACAAAAAGAAAGAAAACCTGAATCATTTTTATTTTTGTGGATACGGTGAATACATTTAATAATGAAAATGAGAACAATAGACACCGCGTTCGGTGTCTATTGTTCTCATTTTCATTATTAAATGTATTCACCGTATCCACAAAAATAAAAATGATTCAGGTTTTCTTTCTTTTTGTCTTTTTTTCATGCCCTTCAATCCACATCATTAAAATAGAAGTGAAAATAAGACTTCTTTATGCAATTGACTATAGAGTAAAGTGTCTAATTGGAACCGCAACTTGATTTGTCTAACTTGTGACTCTAGTATCTGAGTGAGTTTTGAAACGATTTCCACCGAATTTGGGGGCTTTTGTAGCTGAAAGTCTTATGGAATTATTCTGAAATTCCCATCAGAGACGGATCGCAGGAAGATTTACTAAGGAGAGGGTCGTTTTGGTTCCAATTAGCCTCTGTGCCTAATGGGAATCGTACAGCGAAATGTGTGTCTAATTGGAACCGTCCCGTTCAAATTACACGAGTTTGTAATGGTTTAGTAAAACCTATTTTTTAAAAGACTTTGTAAAATAAACTAAGAAGTTTTTATATGGTCATAATCCAGAGAATGAGCCCCGTTGAATGCCACTACTTCGAGGTTTGTAGGACCAAAATTGACCAAGTTATACTTACCATTCTTTAGTGTATATAAAAACGAGATGGTTGCATATTAGGCACTGAACTTAATTGGAACCGTACAGCAAAATGTGTGTCTAATTGAAACCATCCCGTTCAAATTACACCAGTTTTCAACGTTTTA